TGCAAATGGATCTCCAGTTTTGCAGCTGGCAGTTTTTACAGAAGTTAAACATGCCCGAGCAGGAGAGAGGAGGGGCAGGATGGGCAGAGGAAGAAGGGAGGGGAGTAGGGCAGCGGAATATTCCACTCTCTAGACGTGGGTTTTTAAGCCGGCCTGAGCCCGATGTCTCTGGCCTCACATCAAGTCATATCACTGTTCAACAGAGCTTCCCTCCTTGGGGAAAGGTTACATTGCAGCAAAGGTGAATTCATTGTTAATGTTTCTTCAGTTCTCCTCCGTTGCCTCACTGGTCCTGGGTGGTGTCCTGGGGCAGGGGCCGTAACCTCCCCTGGTTTCCTGGGAGCTTGTCCAGATGCCGTGGGGCGTGTTCCCTGCCCACCTTACCTCCCGGCTGCTTGGGTTTGTTCCTCCTGCCTGGTCTGGGGGACTCTGACGTCCGGGGTGCCGCCCAGCGTCCCTTGCGTGCAGCAGCAGCACGGCAGGCAGTTTCAGAGCAGACTGGCTGCCTGTGTCACCATCCTATGAAACAGGCCCCGTCGGGCCGTCAGGGGACACTGAGGAAACGCCCGTGAACCTGTTTGGAGCAAACGCAGCTAAGAGACTGCGCTTCCTGTTTTGAATTGCCTTTGTCGTACGTGATACTGTGGAAGGTTACAACTCGGGGTGGGCCCGCTGGACTGGGTGCTGTGACTGAGGGTCGACCGGGGGCACTCAGTGCTGTGGCCTGAGGTTGATGCCATGGACTGGATTCTCTGACTCGGGGTGGGCCCGCTGCACTGGGTGCTGTTTTCCTTGCACTGATTCACAGTCAGTGATGCCTGTAATGACATGAACGTGTTCCCTGCAGCTGCTGGGCAGATCTGCAGAGATCAGAGACGCTCCACATCCCAGCCCGAAACATCCCACTGGAGGGAAGGTCACGGAGCCGTCCGAGGCAGACAGCAAACCTCTTAGTGAAGTGGGCGTCGTAGAAGGAATCCAGGGAATGGAGGATGCAGACAACGATGGCAGCAAGAGAGACGGCGTTTGTGGGTAAGAGTTGTAGGGTGTGTGGGTCCTGGCGTAGGGGAGAGGGTAGGGGAGAGGACATGTGCAGGTAAGGGCAGCATGTGCAGGTCCTGGTGTGGGAGAGGTGGTGTGTGTGGGTCCTGGCGTGGGACAGGTGGCGTGTGCAGGTAAGCAGTGTAGCATGTTCAGGTCCCGGCATGAGAGAGGTGGCGTGTGTGTCTTGATGGTGGGAGAGGTGGCGTGTGTGGGTCGTGGCGTGGGGGAGGTGGCGTGGGAGAGGTGGCGCATGTGGGTCCTGGTGTGGGAGAGGTGGCGTGTGTGAGTCGTGGCGTGGAGGAGGTGGCGTGGGAGAGGTGGCTTGTGTGCGTCCTGGTGTGGGGTAAGTGGCGTGTGTGGGTCGTGGTGTGGGAGAGGTGGTGTGTGTGGGTCGTGGCGTGGGGGAGGTGGCGTGTGTGGGTCCTGGCGTGGGAGAGGTGCTGTGTGTGGGTCCTGGCGTGGGAGAGGTGGTGTGTGTGGGTCCTGGCGTGGGAGAGATGGTGTGTGTGGGTCGTGGTGTGGGGGAAGTGGCGTGTGTGGGTCGTGGTGTGGGGGAGGTGGTGTGTGTGGGTCGTGGTGTGGGGGAGGTGGCATGTGTGGGTCGTGGCGTGGGGGAGGTGGCGTGTGTGGGTCGTGCTGTGGGAGATGTGCTGTGTG